GCATCACCCCAAAACACCCCCAGTACACCCCAACACACAAACCCAGTGCAGCTTTGCAACAGCCTCCTACGACAGCCCAGTACACCCCAGTACACCCCAATACCGCTCAGAACAACCCAACACAGCCCAATACAGCCCAGCACACCCCAATACACTTGCAGCAGAGCACAGCACACCCCAGCACATCCCAGTACACCCCAATACCGCTCAGAACAACCCAACACAGCCCAATACAGCCCAGCACACCCCAATACACTTGCAGCAGAGCACAGCACACCCCAGCACATCCCAGTACGCCCCAGCACATACGCAATCAGGTCCCTCCAGTATCAGAGAACACGGCGATGCCACGCTAGATTTGAGCACAACAAGCCCCAGCGCCATCCAACACCCGTCCCCGCTGCCCCCCGCGGTGTCAGTGCCGCGTCCCTCCCGGTGACACCCCATCCCGTGCCCCGGGTGGCCCAGTTCGGGGACTTACGCTCTTCCTCGGCGCGGCAGGCTCAGCTCCTTCTGCAACGAGAAAAGCGAGAAGCCGGATCAGAGCGTGACCCCAGGTGTCTGGGGGGGGTGCCCACGGATGGGACCCCCACCTCCTGCCAGCCACAGCCACGCGTCCGGCAGCATCCCCGCTGCCCGCAGCACCAAGCTGTCACTGCAGAATCCGTCCCTGCTCACTGTGCCCAGGGTGTCCCTGCTCTGCTGTGCCAGGTGAGGGTGACAAATCACCCTCCCAGGGTCAGGGCAAGGGGGACATCTCCTTCCAAAGTCCCCAGGGTTGGTGGCCCTGTGGTCAGGCCCAGGAGCAAGGGCACGAGGGCAGCGGAGCGGGAGCAGCACCCAGCTGCCTTGGCTGGAGCGTGGCCCAGGGGTGGTGGTGGTGGCTGTGCCCTGTCCCCCACCCCGTCCCCATAACCCGGGGCGTGGGGAGCAGCCGGCAGCTCCCATGCTGTTTATTTTTCCAGCCGCTGGGAATATTTCTTGCAAGAGACGTTTGCTCGCAGGTGGTGCAACAGGGCAAAGGGCAGCTGTGCAGGCAGGAACCCCGGCCCATGCCATCCTCCCGGCGTGGTGGGCACCAGCCGGCTCCGGCACAGACTCAGCACCCACCCGTGTTGCCACCGGGCACGCCACAGAGAGTAGCAGAGATCCCACCGGCACGCTGCGAGGGGCACGGCGTGAACGGGCCGGTGCGTGCCCTGGCACGCCGCGGGATGCTGGCACGTGCGGCGTTGCGCACGTGCTGGCTCATGCCCCGTCATCGCCTTGATCCTGCGCCCACCGCCGGTGCCCGCCGGCCCCATCCGTACCCCTAAGCAGCTTAGACACATTCCTGGCACGGGCAGGGAGCTCCCCCCGGGCAGGGGCTGCTGCCACCCATGTAGGGGCACGCAGCAGCACCCATGCACCCTACAGCCCCCGGGGTGCCTGCGCCCCATCCTGCTGCCCACGCCACGCAGCCCCTGCGGAAATCCCAGAGTTGGGGCGAGCTGCAACACAGTGATGCAGCAGCATCGCCATAGCAACGGGTGACATCATGCCTGGGCGCACAGGGACGCGGCAGCCCCCGGGTGTATGTCTGCCCCGGGGTGGCGTGGGTGCTGGTGTGTGGGGCTTGTGGGTGCAGGGGGTGGTTGCCCAAAGTGGGTGTGGGTGTCCCAGTGCACCCAGCAGCACTGGGTGACCCCAGGCCTGGGCTGGGGAAGGGGGTGCAGGGTCCCTGCATGGAGCAGGAGCCCCCCCCAGCACCCTCACCCAGTCCTGCCGTCGCCCAGCCCGGATCCCCACCCACACCCAGGCCCGTGCCGCCGGCCAGCAGCCCCCGAGGAGAGGGTGAGGCAGAGAAGGGTGACGCCAAGGGTTTTACTGCTCGGCCATCTGCAGATGGGACAGTGGGACAGAGGACAGACACCCTTGTCCCCCACGCTCACCCCTGCCCCGAGGCACAGCCTCCTCACCCATCTGTGGGTGCAAGGGTGCAGAGCGGTCCTGTGGCACCCAACACCCATCGCTGCCGGGGGCTCCCCGGCCATGCTGCATCCACGGGGACAGCCAGAGCATCCCCCGAGGGCCCTGGGGACCTGCGTAGGTCAGCGCCATAGGGCCAGCACCCACAGGGTGCCTGATGCACCCATCCAGCACAGCGCATCTCCCATCAGCAGGTCCCGCTGGGAGCCAGGATTAACCATCAGCTGATCCCCGCGGGGACGGCATCGGGGACGGCATCACTGCTCGGCGCTTTGGGATTAGGTCCCTGGTGGGAGCCCCGTCCCACCCCTCCTGCCATGGGAATGTGGGCACGCAGCCGGCACCCCACGGCTCTGCTCTCCCCGGGGACTGCCAGGAACGACACCCACGGCCAAGAGCCCCGAAGCCCACTGCCGTGGCTCCATCCATCCATCCACCCGCATCCGTGGGGATGCAGCTCCCATGCAAGGCTCTTTCCCGGGCTGAGCATGCAGCGGAGCGCAGTTGCCCCGCGGAGCTGCCAGCTCGGATGAAGGCAGCACCGTGCCACCTTCCAACCGCCCAGACAGCTTGGGCCAGGCCCCCCGGTTACTGCGGCTCCGTTCTGCAGATGGGGATGAAGGCGTGAGGTCACCCGGAAAATCGGGCTCAGCGCTCAGCTCTATGAGCCGGGAGGGGGGGAAGCCGTGGTCATCACCCCTCCAAGAATAACAGCGGGTGCCGGGGTTCCTGCGGGGAGCGGGTGTGGGATGGGCAGGGAGGATGGGTGCCCATCGGCCTGCCAGGAGCACAGGGTGATGGAAGCTGTTCGGAGGGGCAAATCCGGGCTGGCACAGCGGTTTGGCATCGTGTGCTGGGCTGGAGGGACCACGGCGCTCCCATGGGATCCCTCGCACAGGCGGGTGCTCCCCCCCCAGCACCCCGCAGCGTGGCTGGGGCTCGTACCCTGCCCTGCTCCCAGCGCTGGGTGCCCGGCTCCCGTGTGTCCCCCCAAGTCCCACGCTACTCACACGCAAC